TTACTCCCTAAACAATGTAGTGTAACAACTAATTATAGCGCCGGGCTGTGGTGGTGCATGCCTTTAATCCCAGCACTCGGGAGGCAGAGGCAGGTGGATCTCTGTGAGTTCGAGGACAGCCTGATCTACAAGAGCTAGTTCCAGGATAGCCTCCAAAGCCATAGAGAAACCCTGTCTCGAAGAACCAAAAAAAAAAAAAAAAAAAAACCAAAAACTTCACAACCAACGAATTATAGCATTTATGTTGTATCAGGTATTATGCATAATCTTGTGTTAGCTTTCTATCACTGGAACAAATATTTAGGATAAAATTAAAGGAAGATGTGTCTATTGGGGCTCATGGTTTCACAGCAGTCAATGGTTACCTGGCTCTGCTGCTTTGGACTTGTGGTGACACATCAGAACATTAGAGTGGGAGAGTGTGGCACAGGACATAGGAAGAGGCTGTTTACCTTGGGGTGACCTACAAGCAAAGGAGAAGAGACTGGGATTCTAATATCTTCTTTGATGGCATGCCCCAATGCCCTAACTTCCTCCCACTAGGCCCCACCATCTCCCAACACTGCAATGGTGCTTTAATAGATATTGACTGGGGGAGAGCATTTCAGATGCAGATTATAACAACATTTCTAGAGATCATATAGGGATGGAGTTAGCTAGATCACACACACACACACACACACACACACACACACACACAGGGTGGGGAGGGAGGGAGAGAGGGCGAGCCATTTTATATAAGGAACTTGGGCATTTGTTTATTTGGGTTCTTGGAATTGATTCCTGTGAATTTTGAGGACAACCACACTGTGGTAACAGCCCTAAGTATTCCCAAAGTAAGTCAAATTATCTCCCAGACCATGTGTCTACTTTAGAATGCTCCCACCTCTGCCTGAGGCTTCAGGACTTAACCATTGCAAGTGGAGAAAGCAGAAAGAATCATCTAGCTGTTCTTACAAATTTCTGCACAGAAGTGATATTCCTCACATCAGTCATAGCAAATTACAAAGTCACCACAAACTTCTAAGAGGTGGAAATTTAACTTTCTTTGTGTTTGCACCACAAATATTAGGGGCTACCGAGCAATGTTCACTGTAGGCCTTATGCCCCATGCTTAGGAATTGGAGATTTTTGTCCTCAAATGCATAAGCGCAAGCAAAAGCAAAAGAAACACGAGGAACCCTGGGTGAGTCTAAGCAGTTTAAGTCCACAGTCAGTTCAGAGAAGAAAACAGAACCATTAGAGGTTTAATATAGGAAATCTGTCGCGTAGGTATTGGAGAACTGAGAGCACCTGAAGGCAGCGATAAGAAAACCCAGAGACCGTATTAGGAGAAGCAGCCAGCTACCGTAACTAATACTGGGAGCACAATAGGCAGAAACTGGGGGTTCAGTGCAGCACCTGGGTCCTACACAATTGATAGCTGAGCCCCTAAGGAGGGGTTGCTGCTGGATCTAATCTGCAAGAGCTGGAAGAAGCTTCAGGTCAGAACATTTAGTGTTGTACAGGAACAGCAAGAATTAAGGAAGGAAGCCTTCTCCTTCAGGCTGCCTTCCCATAAACCCTTCTCACAAGCCTGACAAACTGCTAAGATGCCAGCTTCTCTCATATGACCTAGTTCTCTGGTTTGGAAGAAGAAGGCAATCCCAACTATGAAACTCCCTCTCATCTTTATGGCTCTAGCATGTGGAGTTCCAGGAGCTACTCATGTGCCACACTGTGATCTTGTTGCCATCTCAGCTCCTTTATTACCTATAGAACCTATTATCTGCCTTCAATTTCCTCTGGTGTGAATACCCAAAGCACTTGTAGATTTTCTTGTTAAATTCTGAGTCAATTAGTCACTCTTTGCATTGTTACAGAGCTCTATTTGCCCCTTTGGTTTGCTATCCTAGAAAAGCAGGCCGCTAATATTTATGCCTGTGCATTTCATAGCAATCTTCTGCATATGCATGACTTTTAGGCTTCAGTTTTCCTCCTTGACACCTCCTGCCCACACTCCATGGTAATTGAAGTCAGGGCACATCTGAAAAGGATTCCTTAAGGCCATCACTATCTATTTAAACCAACCCCAAACTGGAGGCTACTTAAGAGCAATTCAAGGGAGGACTTGTTTAAATTGATCTGTAGGGAAATTCACTTGTCCTGCACAGTTAGGTCAATTTAACGCAGGCTGATTCATTTTATCACTATCACAATTATGGTATAGAACAGTGCCATGCCCCACCCCACCTTCCTTGACTCATGTCCTAATCATGTCCTCCCTCACTAGAAACTACTGGTCTGTTCAACAAAAAATAGTTTTGATTTTGAGGTTGTCTTCCTGCTAGGGATGTCAAAGAGAAAAGAAGCAGTGAATATGATCAAAGCATGTTATAGTCATATATGAAAATATCATAATGAAGCACATTACTTTGTACAATTAATATACTTTAGTAGGATTCATTTAATATACAACCCCTTAAAAGATTCTTCTCAGCTGGCTGTGGTGGAACACACCTTTAATCCCAGCACTCGGGAAGCAGAGGCGGGTGGATCTCCTTGAGTTCCAGGATATCAAGAGCTATATAGTGAGACCCTATCACAAACAACAACAACAAAACAACAGCAACCACAAAAATGTGACGGGCAGTGGTGGTGCATGCCTTTGAGCCCAGCACTTGGAAGACAGAGACAGGTAGATCTCTGTGAGTTCAAGGCCAGCCTGGTTTATAGAAGGAGTTCCAGGACAGGCTCCAAAGCTACATAGAGAAACCCTGTCTCGAAAAACAAATGACAACAACAAAGAATTTTTTGTTGCTGGATATGGTGGTACACACTTAATCAGCACTTCGGAGGCAGAGGCAGGCAGATCTCTGTAAATTTGAAGTTACCTTGGTTTACATAGTGAGACCCTGGATCAAAAGGGAAAGAAAAAGTATGCATTTGCAAAAGCTGAGCATGGGGCCTCATGTTTGTGATTACAGTTCTTGACACCGTGAGACAGAGAGACAGAGACAAAGAAACAGATCTATTGAGAAATAGAGAGACAGACAGACAGACAGACAGACAGACACACACACACACACACACACACACGGTGGGGGTATCTTGGGACCAGAGAGGAAGGCTGTTGTCCCCACTCCTGTCCATCTGAGAGCTTGAGGGTACTTCTTCTTCCCCCAATGCAGCTGCCACAGTGTGCGTGAGAATGAAGGAAAAAAAAATAAATGCATTTCTTCTGTGTGCTTTGAACATTAGGAGCTCCTCTTTCTGGAGCTCTTTTTGTCCATGTCAATTCACCCTTCTAGGTTGGTTTGAGTCTGTTTTAGTGAAGACTGGAAGAAAAATAATGTTGAACTCATTGCTAATTCTAATTTGCTTCAATTCCGGTGTTCTTCATGAAGTTACCTGTCATTTTCTTTTCCGGATGTTTAAATGGCTTCTCTATGCCTTCTGTTCAGATGTGTTTTAGACTGGGGTGGATCTTGCTTTGTTGCCCAGGCTAGCCTTGAAATCCTTGATTCAATTCTGCTGACCTCAGCTTCTTGAGTAGCTGGGATTTAGGTGTGTGCCACCAAACCTAGAGAGGATCAGTTGAGTGGATTAATCTGTGTTTACTGGAATCAGAACCTCTGGGTTGAATGCGCTACAATGCAAATAGAAACATGTATAGATAGCGGCGTCTTTGGTGGATATTCAGGTGGATAGTCAGGTGGGTCTTTTTATGCTCTTCCTGAAGCAACTATTTTAGGTAATGATTAATCTTCTGGTTGTCTATTGTTGTAGAAGAAATTGTCTTCAAATAGTATGGTCAATTAAAATAGCACCAATCATTTCATTATTGCAGTTTCAGGCTTGTCTAGGTGGTTCTTGTTTGCAGTTTCTTCTATAATTATGGAGTAGGTAAAGATCCTGGTCACAATCAAGATGAAGAGATTCCTTGGTGTGAAGAAGGCACTAAGCAGTCTTGGCTAAATGCTCACCCAGAGGAAGGAGGGAGTGTTCTGAACAGACTAACTGCAAACCTCTCTGGAAGAGAGATTATGGAAAGTTGGTAGGGATATGAGATTCAGTAAATATGAACAGAGTGTTCAACATCAGGTAGTGACTGATTGTGTTAGGCTTTCTTTTCTTCCTTGATTAGAGAAACAAGGTGGGTTGAAAACTCTAGTTATTAGGACTTGTTCCAAGAGGTTTTATCTCTGAAAACCTTGCCATGATTCTGAGTTGGGCTTGATCCTAAAGTTCAATTAAATACTCCCTTATTTTCTGAGTTAACAGGAAGACAACATCAGGATAAAATGGCCCCTTCCACCCACCTGAGGACAGACCATCTGCCAGTCTTCTACACAGAATGGCAAGAGTTTTAGTTTCCTCTAGTTCAAACCTGTTTTCCCCGAAAGGATCAGTTGAAGTATTGATGATGGAGGTATTTATTTCATCGCTCTGACCGATTGCCTTTACCTACCCTTATATTAAGGCAGCCCAGAACATAGTTCATTTGAATGATGCCTGGAAGACTCTGGGGAGTCCAGAGACTCTGGATACAGTTAGAAAGGTGACAATTGAGAGCAATGTGTGTGTGTGTGTGTGTGAACAGTAATGTGGTTTTGTAACTCCTGGGAGGCCTCACTTTATTGGGCTCAGACCCAATGACACCCGCATGACATCAAACTCTTAGCGGTGGCCCTAGGGACAGGACTGGAGATTGAGGAGCGGATCAATCTGAGTTGATGTTCCTTGCCAGGAGAGAATGACCTCTGCAGTAGTCCCATTTAGGTAGCGTTGCGGCTACTACTCAGAAACTAGCTAGCTGACCCCAGACGGTCTGACCAGGTACTCCTGGACAGAACCACCAGCGCGGCGCCACGGAAGGGCTGACTGCCCCACCCGGACAGCGGGGTGGCCGAGCTCTAGGCGAGGGGCGGCGGGGGGGGGCGACGACCAAGGAACAGGTGCGCGGGCGGGGGGCGGCGCTTGGGGATCCTGCGCACTGCGCGCGCCCCTCCCCCGCAGCTTGGCGCAGCCAGGCCAGGCGCTAGCGGCTGGAGGAGGAGCTGCGGCCGTAGCCACCGGGTAGGTCAGCACCGCGGGAAGCTGCCGACGACCGCGCGGGCTGTTGCTGGTCCCCGCGTGGAAGAGGCGCGGGCGGCCCGGAGTCATGGAGCCTAGTGACGCGGTGCACCCTGGTCCAGGGAGGGCTGTGTGGGCGCTGTCGCCTCGGCTGCTGCTGCTGCCACTGTTGCCGGTGCTGCTGGGTCGGGGGCTGCGGGCCGGGGCCGCGGCCTCCTCCTCTGGGGCGGCGGCCGAGGACAGCAGCGCCATGGAGGAGCTCGCCACCGAGAAGGAGGCGGAGGAGAGCCACCGGCAGGACAGTGTGAGCCTGCTCACCTTCATCCTGCTGCTCACCCTCACCATCCTCACCATCTGGCTCTTCAAGCACCGCCGGGTGCGCTTCCTGCACGAGACCGGGCTGGCCATGATCTATGGTGAGTTCCCTGCCACTGCCCCGGCCCACATCCCTTGGGCGGCTGGCTGTGCTCCTCCCGGTGCCTCACAGTGCTCCCGCTTCACTTCCCAAGGAGTTTCTTCTTTTGCTTTTCCCGCTGAGACGCTGTGGGTTTCCAAGGTCAATTGTCTGCATTTTTCCTGCTTTCTGCTATGGTTAAAAAGCATTTTGTCCCGTTTCAACGTTTCTTTACCAGGAACCAAGATGAAAGACACAGAGGTGTCTTTGGCCCCTCTGCTTGATTATGTGTTTCTCTTGTGTCCCTCTCCATCAACCTCTACCCAGCTTCCCACCCCAGTTTAGATCTGCAGAGGGTACAGGGGCAGGAAGTGGGTGATTTCCCAGGGAGTTGTGCCACCCCAGGGGACAAGCCACAGATGGGTGAGAAAGAGGTCTGAATGTTAAGTCTTGACTTGAGCTGTCCATGATGGTCATCCCAGGTAGGTGCCCACTTCTGAGGTCTGTGTTCTTTTTATCTCTTGTGAATGATGTCTGAGGAGGAATGAAAGGTGAGTGCCGTCTAGGACCCAGATTGGTGATACCACCATGTCAGGCCTAACTATTGAGACAGGTATCCTTAATGTCTCATTGGGGAACTTATACCTATTTCCTTGTTTTCTGCAAGCCAAGGGTAGCTCTTGTATCCTTAAAATGGTAACACGGAGCAACTTTAAAGATACATTTCTGAGTGTGTGGAGGGGAAAGTGGTGGTTTGAATTCTGGAGTCAGCCCCCTTTTGTTAAGGATAGGCTGATACCACCATCCTTTCTGGATTTAGTAGTTCACAGCATGCTACACAGACAGGGTTATGACATGGATAATAACAGCCACAATCTGAGTCATCCTTTTCCCCCTCTGTGTGTGTGCCTCCTGCCATTCTCCCCTCACCCCCACTCCACTCAGTCGGAGCTGGAGCCAAGCATTCTTTTTAAATTTAATTCAGGGGTGTAAAAGCCTACAAGCAGCATCCTCCAATGAAATAAAAGAGTCACTTCGGGACTATTTCTCAAGCCAGAGCATTATTCTTCATCACAGTATACTCCACTCAGTTTCCATCCAGGGATCCCTGACAGAATGGAAAGCAGGCAGCTTAATTTTTAATGTGTAAATTACCCTTGGTCCTGGGCCTTTTGGGTCTCATGGTTCTTGGTTAGTTATTAAAAGCCAGGCTTATGGCCTCCAAACCCTTTCAGACAAATTATACAAGGGACTAGTCAGAAGGCTTCCAGTTTGGAAATAGTGGCCTAAACAGATCTTGAAACCATAAAATAAAAAACCTAGTTGGTTATTGGAAATCACAGGTCTCAGGACAGATTTTGGCCTCCATACTTGCTCAAGGAGTCTCTGTGGTTTGTGTTAGTTGGTGACAAATGAGTGACATGAGGAAAGCAGGTAAACTGAGATATTTTCTGAGCAGATAGTGAATGAGGAATTGAAGTATGCTGCCATCTTAGATGACTGACTCCGAGCCGTGTTGGAAATGAAGACTGCCTTTGTATGTTTATACAATGCTATGAGCATATATTTATCGTATAAGTCTCAGAACCAACTCCTTAAAGAGCAGTGTGAAATAGGAAGTACATTTGGCAGGCTCATAAATGCATGCTCAAAGACATAGAAAATAAATGAGGATTAAATATGTGTTCTGAAGATTATTCTATGTACACAGAATTCAGTAATTTTTATGTTTGGCTTTTGTTTTGTTTGAGACAGGGTCTTGCATAGTAGCTTAGGCTGTCCTGAAACTCATTGTGGAGCCTTGAATTTAGGGCAGTCCTCCTGCCTCAGTCTCTCGAGTACTGGGATTACATATATGAGCTACCACACCCAGCTTTAGACATCTTTATCTTAAGGCTTAAAAACGACAGTAGAATGTTCTTGCAATGATAGATACTTTAAAATTTACCTCAGTGTTTCAGTCATTGGGACCACATCCAGTGTGCAGTTTCATTTTGTGGATAATCATAGTATGAATCTCATAATATACCTGTATACTTTTGTCCTATGTCTTTGGGTCTACTTGTTGCTTTTAATTGTATTGAGAAATTGATTTTGTCAATATGTGAATTCCTGGATTATGTCAAATATTAATATGTTGATATGGGTTATTTGTAACTGTGAGAAAACAATTCTTTCCAGTATGTTTGATCTTGTGTTTCAATCAAAGTCTGTATTCTAATGTTATTTGATTACTAAATTTTCCTTTTTGTGCTTAAGATTATTGGAGAGATAAAGCAGGAGACTCTGGTCTCTGCACATGCACATTAATGTGCATATCTGAACAGACCTGTGCACACACATGCATCTGCCCACAGACAAAGAACTCCGATTTTATTTCTCAATATCAATAGAGGAAGTGAGTAGCTGTCCTTTTGTCTCTGAGTAATAAAGGGCAAGAAGGCTTAGGGAAGCACTTGTTGAGTATCTGCCCTGTTCTGAGCATGCATATTAATTTCTAGAAGCTACAATTTAACTTCAAAATTTTTATGAATACATTTTTTATGAATGAAAATGTTCAATTTTGAAATCCAAAACCTCTACAGTTTTTAAAGGTCTCTTTCCTATCATCTATTTTATTGGCACATATACATTGTACACAGTATTTGATATACTTTGACAGTGTATCTGCCCTCTACTTTTTTCTCCTCTCACATCCTGCTATTTCCCTTTGTTCCCCTAGAACAGTGCTTCTCAGCCTTCCTAATGATGTCACTCTTTAATATAGTTCCTAACATTGTGGTGACCCCCAACAATAAAATTATTTTTGCTGCTACTTCATAACTGTACTTTTGCTGCTGTTATGAATGGTAATGTAAATATTTTTGGAGATAGAGGTTTGCCAAAGGGGTTGCAACCCATAGGTTGAGAACCACTGTTCTAGATGTTCAAGCTTCTATTTCCATGTCATGAATATATGCATGCTTTTATGTTATATCTATAAAATCTCACAAGTGAGAGAAAATATGCAGTATTTGCCTTTTTCGGTTTTTTTTCCTGTGTAGTTTTGGAGGCTGTCCTGAAACTAGCTCTTGTAGACCAGTTTGGTCTCGAACTCACAGAGTTCTGCCTGCCTCTGCCTTCCAAGTGCTGGGATTAAAGGCGTGCGCCACCCCCACCCGGCTATAATATTTGCCTTTTTGAGTTTGACTTACTTATTGTGATAATCTGCAGCTGTACACATTTTTCTGCAAACCACATAATTTCATTCTTCATGGATGAGTAAAATTCCATTGTTTGTGTATACTGTTCCTTATCCATTTCTCTGATTACAGACACTAATTGTGAGTCCTGCTTCAGTAAGCATGGATGTGCAAGGATCTCTGGGATGTCTTGGAGTCCTTTGAGTAAATATCAGGAGTCTTTACCTTTTTCTATTGAACTGATATTTAATCTGAGAGGGGTATGTTTAGTATTAAACAAATAAGCTAGTACAGTTAGATGGAAGTATATGTAATGGACTAATCATTGGTTTCCTTAGGGGACAAACCTCTGGAGCTGTGACTTTTGGGTGGAAGGGAGATGTCACCATGTACCTTTCTGTGCATTTTGGTTTTTGAACTGTAGAAGAGTAATTACCTAGTAGCATATATATGCTGCCTTTCTGTATAATTTGTGATATGTATGCATCTTATATCATTCAATGTAACACTCACTTCTCCCTATTTATATGATGGTATATCATCCCATTGTTCCCAGGGAGTAGTTATTACACTACGAATTTGCACAAATAGATCTTGTAGTAGCAAGTATTTCCTTGGGACAAAGGGCCTAAAGACAATAAGAGACACATTGTGAATGTTTTAGCATTTGTAGTAAAAGACAAGTACTACAGTATAGTTACAAGCATTCTTCCCTGACAAGAGGCCAAGGCAGCTAGCTACAAGGCATAGTGTTCCCAGACCTGACTTTCCAGGGAGTTTGAAATCAGCCCCCAGACCTTGACATGCCAGCTGCAGACATCTGGCTGAAGCATTAGCATGGTACCAGTCTAACCTATTTTTGTTGGCTCTGTTGGTGATTAAGCACCATCTAGTAGTTACTGGGCCCTGCATGCCTGCACAGTCGAAATAGCAGAGTTTTGAGGCAGGGGAAGGTAGCATAAATAGACTGTCAGTTAATTGTGGTTCTTTCTCATGTTTACAGTAGTTCTACTTCCTCCGTAGTGTTTTTGTGACAACTGACATGTATCCAAAATACATGTCACTATACTACACTAGCCTACCACCTGCTTCTGAGTAAAAATGGTCAGCCATTGCAAGTTTTTTCGGTCATCAGCTCCCTTCCACTGCTCTGTTGATGATTGGAACTGGATTGCTAAGCACAGCCTGAGAGTGGACCTTACAGACAAAGTGTGAAAGGGCAAAATATGATGTAGTAGTATTAAACTTACACATGGGCATCTGTGTTGGTGAGACTTTCATTGCTCTGATACCAGAGAGAAACGACCTATAGGAGGGGGTATTGGTTTCATCTCATGGTTTTAGCCTGTATTGGTGTGGAGGGCTTTGTGGAGCATAGGGGTTTCCATTATATTGTCCAGGAAGCAGAGAGTGTGTCTGCTGTATTGGCTAGTTCTCCCCCCTCCTTATTTAATCCAGATCCCCATCCATGAAATAGTGTTGCCTACTTTCAGGGAAAGTCTTCTTTTCTTAGATTATCTTCTCTGGAAATTCCTTCACAGACACATTCAAAGGTACACTTCAGGGTTTTATGTGCTTGCTTCTCAGTCCAGTCATGTGACTGATCATGTTAACCCTCCCTTACAGAGTTTACTGGTTGAGACACAATACACAAACACATCTTCTTCACTCATAACATTGTACCATGGGCTCCTAAAGGCTCATAACTATCTCATACTGCAAAAAAGATTTAGTACATCTCCAGAAGCCCCCAGTGTCAACAGTTCCAGCACTGCTCAAAAGTTCCAGCCCCATATTTCCTCAGAATAATGAAATCAACTCTTAGCTGTGAGGCCCTGTA